ATCTAAGTAGTGTATCAAATGTGGTCGACAATAATGAGAGAGAGGTCCGTGGGAGACGGTCAGAGAGGTTTCTCTCTGACCATGGTTGTGAAGGCTGCTTTCCACCATGCGTTAGCAAAATTTATCGTTTATCCTTGTTTAATATTTGATAAACAACAAGGATAAAATGATTCTACGAGCGTTGTGCCGTGGGCATTAAATGGAACGCACCCGAAGTCTATCAACTCTGATCGACTCTTATCTCTTATCTCGCAGGAAAACCGCAAAAAAGACAAAACAGGAAAACCACAAAAAAATAAAACAGGATAAGAGGCCAAAACGCTAGAGATAAAACTGATAAAAAGCAAGGAATAGAAAACAAAGGTACATTGTAGAATTAGCCTTTAAATAGACAGGCGCGAAAAGCAGAATATAAAGTGTTATTACAATATATTATCTACGCAGAATGACGGGCGTTGCTGTGGTACGTATAAATTACATAACTATGTGAACACAGAATCTTCGTATTTCTAATGTGATTTCCTTTTCCAGATGATTAGTTGACAAGTATAGTTCTTTGTAGTTGCGTTTCGTTATACTTAAAATGAAATAAGTATATATAGGCTGTTTAAAACAAAGATTACATATTTTGAGAAAACAATATTCATCAAAATAAAAAAAAAGTTCCAGTAAACATATGTCCAAAACAAATATCTGTTGTGATTTAGTTGAAATCATTAAAATATGGGATAATTTCTGAGTGCATTCCACGTTTCATGCATGAATATTTTATTCTTGTAACTGAATTAAAAATAAGAATAAAATGATAGATCATGCTCATCATGCATAAAATGGAACGTACTCTTTATTGTCACTAAATGATATGCTTTAGATGGTTCCCATTCGTTTAATAAGGAATGGATTGTATGGATTGGTCAGGGAAGTCTAGAGAGTAGTTTATAGGAACATTTAAAGAGCAAGTAATTTTTTTTACAAAAGTTTAACTACAAAGAATCCATATTTATTTTTTATAGTTGGACTGTTGATATTTATTAGTCTTCCTCTTTTTTTTCTCTCCAGTGTCTAATTGTATACTCACTTCATTTTAGGCATAGAAGTATAACATGTAATTGCAAAACATAGATTTATTGATCTTGATTGATAAATCATGCTGTTGTTTAGGTAACTGGTGGAAACAAGGGTATTGGCTTTGCCATTGTGAAAGCTCTCTGTCAGCAGTACAATGGAAATGTTTACTTAACAGCTCGTGACACCACACGTGGTTTGAATGCTGTCAGTGAATTGAAAAAGCAAGGCTTGAATCCGAAGTTCCATCAATTGGATATCAATGACGACAACAGTGTTAATACATTCCGGGATTACTTACAGAATACGTATGGTGGTCTTGATGTACTGGTCAACAATGCCGCCATAGCATTTAAAGTAATTAAAGATATCGATATAATAGTAATTAGTTTTAAAAAAATAATCTGATTTTAAACAGAGAAATAATATATATGTTTCTTTCGTACTCATATTTATATAAAATATTAGCAAATGCTCTAACTGTACAGTTTTTTTTACTTTGCAGTAGTCAAAAAGATGATAATACACAGCAAAAAGAACATAAATTTAGAGTGAAAAATAAAGTAAAATATATATTAATAAACGTATTTATACATTTTGATCTAAAACGGAATAATTTTGTGAAAATGAAGTATTGTTAAAAGGTATATTAAAGTTTATTTATTTACAGGTCAATGCTACAGAGTCTTTTGGAGTGCAAGCTGAAGAAACAATACGAGTAAACTACTTTAGCTTACGTAGAGTGTGTACTGCTCTTTATCCGTTACTCAGACCGCATGCCCGCGTGGTTCACGTTTCGAGCAGTGCTGGACGTCTGTCTAATATTACTGGTGATGCATTAAAACAGAAAATAGCTGATCCAAATTTGACTGAAGTGGAATTGGACAAAATCATGCATGAATTTGTCAAGTAAGTTTTTGATCATATTTCTTTAAAAACGATTGCGTTAATTATAATTTGAAAAGTTTTTTTGAGATTTATATTTATTTACATTTATTTCCAGTGCTGCGAAAGCTGGTACGCATTTACAAGCTGGTTGGTCAAATTCAACGTATGTGGCAAGTAAAATCGGTGTTAGCGCTTTAGCTGGTATTCACCAATCCATATTTAATACGGATCCCCGAGAAGATATTGCGGTGAATGCAGTACATCCTGGTTATGTTGATACTGATATGAGTAACCATAAAGGAACTTTGACACCAGATCAAGGGGCTGTAGCTCCTGTTTACTGTGCATTGTTGCCGGAAAATACAGAGATAAAAGGAAAATATATCTGGTTCGATAAGACATTAGCAGAGTGGAAGTAAGCAAATGGATAAACTGGATTGTATTATTATATTCCTACAATATGATGCATAATATACCAAGATGTGAAGAGTTGGATTATATTCTAAATAATTATTTTTATGATATTAAACATACTTACATAAAAAAAGAGCAAGAACAAAAATTTACAAAAAAAATATAAAAGCTATTTTGTTACAAATATTTTATATTTTAAAACAGCTGAATAAATAAACAAAAATATATGTATTGAAGAATGTTATTGTATATTATTACCCATATTAAGAAAAACTTTTAAATATCGTATAACTATTTCATGAATATTATTTTTGTAAGTAGGAAATTTATGTAATAATATCAAAGAGAAGAAATAGAGTTTTGATACATACATTCTTAACTGTCAACTTGTCAGTCAAAACATTAATTAGAATGGAAAAAACGTTTAGGTGTTATAACGTCGCCGCACAAAGGTATTCACATTTATGATTCTTTAAATCGTAAACAATTGCATGCTCACCACGAGTTATATTTAAAAAATTATGTCCATTCTTTATGTAATATATATACAAGGACACAAGTTCATGCCTTTGTGCGGTGTTGCGTGACGTCACGATGGCGGCTCAAGCCATTCATTAAAATCAGATCTAAAGAGATTACTCTACATTGATGAAGAAACTAAATTAGAGACGAAAGTAATAATTGAAATTGTAATCCTCAATTCTCCCCCTTCGAATTTCCCTCCGCGAAGTTTTCGCGGCCACCATGGTATCGATATATCGTAAATATCGAAACCGCTCGCGGTCGACGGTCGACCGGGTCGACCCGCGACTCCCGCGAGTCCGAGTAAAAGCAAATGGCGGCCGTGCAGTGGCACGTAGCGACTGGTTGTATTGTCAGGTATTGTCCCGCGGGTCAACCGATCACTATCTGTATCGATCGATGGCAGTTCCGAGCGATGACGCGATGAATAACACAGCACGCGTGGAACAGCTCGTGGGCGACGAATGCCGCATCTGTCTGAAGTCCTGCACGGAGGCGTGCCAGCTCTTCCACAACGACAGCGGAATACCGGAGAAGTTGATGGCCATCGCCGCTGTACAGGTTAGCTCTCTTTTTTTCTTTCTCTTGCCACCTCTAGTTTTATTTTGAATAAGCATCGAAAGCCACCTTTGCATTGAGTAATACCTCCGTGGTTACATTTCTCTGTCCCCGATGTTCTTGAACCCGTTCGGATTTTGGAGGGTTTCTACCCGTTGCTGATTTCTCAATGCCAATGTCGTTTTGGCTGGTCGAGTTGTTCTATGTTAACACCGATTTCCTCCGAGAATTAATAAGGGTTTCGAGGTCATAGATTGTTCGTAAGAATATTTGTCGATCTTTTTTTTTATTTGAATGTAAAATTTGATCGTAGAAAAGCAATTCTGCTTTATGATTTTGCCACTCTAGCTTTTTCCGATGTAAACAATGATACAAGCCGCTTACACTCACTTACATTATCATTTATGATTAAAGATTGTTAGAGATACACATATCTCATTCTACCAATGTAGATTTACTTTCATTTGGGTTCAATTATTTATTTTTTTTTGGTTCTCTAAATTAAAACAGACAATACTTACGTATGTGTATATATACAGGTTGTCTTAGGATTTAAGGGTAAACTTGTAGGATATGCAGAAGCATATCCTACAAATAGAAATAAGAAAAAAGTATTATATGAAATTTGGCTAGAAATGCTTTATGGTAAGGTCATAAACAAATATTGAAACAGAACATTTTAATGGAACATTGGTATTTTGATGGCTATTTCACGACAATAGAAATCTATTAGCTATTCTTTTCAAGCATAGTTATTGCCTCAGGACTGAAAGAATATCGTATAAATTGAAATGATTTGTTTAAAGATAATAAATATTATATGAACATACATACAAGATAAGTATTTGATTATTCTGTACATGTAATGTACACTTTCATATTCTACGCAATGAAAAATTAATTTGTTTTATATTTCATGTTCTGTTTCAACATTTGTTTGTAATAAAGCATTTATAGCCAAACTTTATACAACATTTTCTTTTCTTTCAAAATAATATTTTTACAGAATGAAACTGATGATTTTCATAAATTGCAGGTGGAAGTAGGGGACGGTCTGCCAGCTTACATCTGTTCAGCTTGCAATGATTTACTCGACGTGTCCTATGACTTTAGATGTCAGATTCAGAACGCTGACGAGAGGCTACGGCATTTTCTGAAGTTGCAAATTCAACCTATGCTGCATGACAAACATGCGAAAGATAGCATGATAATCAAAGATATCACGGATGTCATATCTGATGTAGTATCTTGTAAAAAAGATAATCATATAGAGCAAGGTATTTCCTCGTCTCACGATATTGTTGCGTTTAATAATACTGCCGTTCAGTCTGATATGGTAATTGATGAATCTCACATAAGTCACAAGATACAAAAAACGACAGAAATTATAGAACCAAGTGAAAAAGATGCTCTGTACGATACAGTTAAAGATAATGTACATAATGCTGAAATGATGGAAGTAGCTTTGTGTCATGAGGCACACATGGATGATGTAGTTGCTGATCATTCAGATCGATTTTCCAGTTCAACAACGGAAGACAGATGTATCAAACAAGAAGATTTAATACTACCTGAAGATAATGAGACATCGGGAAATTTAACAGACGAAAATAGGGAAGATACATTAAAAATTGAAGCTAAAAATGATGCATTGCTGGAAAATTTCAATGATCATGATATTTCGAACGAAATCATGGTGTCAGGAATGGATATGAAAAGCGTCACAAATTGTAGTGATGACGAGGAGAAACCACTTATAAGCAGGACAACGAGACAGAAGTGCTTGCATTGCATCAAATCGTTTGCGACAAAAGTTGCGTTGCAGCGACACATGAACGTACACAAACACAAGACAAAGCTACGTTACGTGTGTGTCGTGTGCGACAAGCAGTTTTCGAATATCGACAAATTGAAGAGTCACATGCTCACGTGTCACGAGACTCAGACGACAGATAATAAAGCGTCACAAGATGACAGAAAGGCAAATAAAGTATCGGCAAAAGTTACTAGAAGTGGCACCGTGGTAGACAGCACAAGGGAAGAAAAGAAAAATTTTAAGTTTACATGCAAAGTCTGCTCGAAACAATTTATATATCAGAAATCCTTTTTGTCTCATGCCAAAAGTCATGTTGAATACAATGTGGCTACGTCGGACGACGTACTTGAGCAATCTGCGAATGATACGAGTGAACAAAAAGACAGAATGCCAATATTCAGAGAAAATGAATCCGAGGAGGAAGAAGAAGAAGAGGATGACGATGACAGTGATTTACCGATCAAAAGTTTACAGTGTACTCAGTGCGGCAAACTTTTTGCTACAAAGAGGAACCTGAAAAGGCATATCTCGACGCACAGTGGCTTGAAGTTTAATTGCTCGACATGCGGTAAAGGATTTTCGAGAATTGACAAGTTGAAGGATCACGAACAATCGAAACACAAAGAAGAAATATTTGGCAATACTGACGACGAAGATGATTACGAAGAGGATAACGAGAGCAAAATCAACGAGAATTCCGAAAATCGAAAGAAGGCAAGTATTTTATGTGAATTCTATATGTACATTTATTATACAGAATGTCCTGAAAATCGTGTTACAATCAGGAATGGAGTGATGAAAACATAAATTGAAAATACTATATGAAAAAATAAATTGAAAACGTAGAATTAAATTTTAAACTCCTTCCCGATTGTATCACGATTTACGGAATACTTCGTATTTGTGTAAAAATATTTACGAAATAATCATATTTATTATAATTCTTGTGTATGTAATATATAATAAAAATTAAATTAGTTTATATCTGTATTTGTTTCTACAAAAATATGCACTTCTAACGACACAGCTCTAACAAATTTATTTTCTTGTAGGACCGACACAACAGGCCACATAAGTGCATGCTTTGTCCAAAGGCCTTCGCACAGGCTCAATCTTTGGCAAACCACGTAGAGAGGCATAAACGGGTGAAAGACACGCAGAAACGATTTCTCTGTGAGAAATGTAGCAAGTGCTTTGCTCAGAGTGGGTCGCTGGTGGCGCATATGCGTACACATACCGGCATCAAGCCATATGTATGCAACGTATGCAGTCGTGCCTTCACAAAGAGCACGTATTTACAGTTGCATCTGAGAACTCATAGCGGTGAGAAACCGTATATCTGTCAGTATTGCAGTAGAGCGTTTGCCCGGGCCAACACTCTGGCACGGCACATAACCATGCATACTGGTGAGGCCAAATATCATTGCAACATCTGCACCAAGTCCTTCCGACGATTGACCTCGCTAAACGAACACACGTATACACATACCGGTCAACGACCATACGCGTGCAAGCTCTGTACTAAAAGATACAACAATGCTGGCTCATTATATGCTCATACGAAGAAATGCAAGGCGCAGCAATTATCTAACTCGACAACGTCTGCATATGCGGTGTCCACGGCAGATAATGCACCGCAGCAGAACGACGCGTCTATGCCCCTACTAATATATTCCCCGAGGAAGCTGGTAGAAGAAGCGGCTGTTGGTCAAGTTGTATCCACGCCGCAATATATGGTAACAAATGTGCACAATCAAAAAACAGTGCCACCCAATGTGATCCAACCGTACGCCGTAGAGGATCCGAATGTGTATAATTCAAAACAATTTAAGAACTCGTATTATGCTATTTATCCAAATATGCAATAATGTCGATCACGTCTGGTTGCTAATTGTCATCGCCCAGTGATTTTTATATTAAAAATCGGTTAAACTAACAATCTAAGGTTGTGTTCCGTTATTGCGAGTACTAAAAATCAGTTTACACTATACATTTTCAGTACACACAGTGGCTACATTTACACCGTGCGCTTAGTCCGCGGCCTCATTCCAAATTTAACCTAAATTATTTAGACCTCATGCTGTAAACACTTGGTAGATGACCCGACCTAGCTTTAGGTCAGACCTCGGTTTTTAGCGGCCTGACCTAAAATAGGTCGTCTGTTTTTTCCGTGTAAACACGCGAGATGTATACACGACTGTAGGTAATTCGGATCAGCGTGGATTATACCACCCCATCAATT